CCCCTCTGAGCACCAGCGGGTGGATTCTTCCTGTCTTGTCAGACTGGCACAGTGAGCCTCTGGAAACTTCTCTCGCTCCAACTGGAATCCAGCCCAACCAGCATCCATCAGGCTGCCATTGCCATGGCCTTGAAGAATGGTCTGGAAATGTGAAGATCTCCCAAAATGGCATCACAGTGAAAATCAAAAGCCAAGGGCACAGTCATTCTTGCTTTGCTTCACAGAAAATGTTCTATTATCACACGTGTCACTTTTTCTTTACAATTTGTAATTTTTTGTTTCAGTGCTTTGGAAAAAGCATTCCCCTTTGAATTCTTACGAATATTTTCTTTTAGTTTCTTTTTCTCACTTTATAGTTTTTATTCCCTCTGGGCACACAGAAAACCATACTTCCTATCCCCAGAGCACCCCCAGCCTCTTGCTGTTGGATAAGGCCACAGGACTAACTTGAGCTAGTCAGCCCTGTGCAGCAGTGATTTCTATTACTTCTAGACTATTATTTTAAGGAGGAGTGAGAGATCTCCATGACACTCTCCACATGCCAATGACCAGCGATATTCCAGGTAGTGGAGCTTCTGTCAGCTGGGATCCCTAACAGACTATGGGAAGCAGAGCCCTCTCACTCCTGACCTTCACCAACATATGTTGGGCATTTATTGGGTGCTAGACGTAAACCTTTGCTGCGTTAAGCCACAGGGGTTTGGGGGGGTGGTTACCCCAGCATAAGCTTAGCTTAACCTGACAAACACAGCAATGGCTCTCAAAATTTAGAGTGCAATAGTCACTTGTGAAACTTGTTAAAATGCCTATTGTGTCACAAAAATATACTGGGGGACAGATTTATGGCTTAGTGATGATTACTCTTTTAGCTGATTTAATAGATCCTTTAAAACTGTATACATTTTCATTTTTAACCTTATAATAGTATTTGTTACCCAGGTAATAGATACTCTCTTTGGAAAAACAGAAGACACAAGCAACAAGGAAAAATTAACATAAAAATACAGACTTCTGCCACACAGAGATATTGCTAACCTTCTGATGTTATTGTGTCAGGAATTTTCTTGTGAAAAAAGACCATCTTTTCCCTACAGGATAGGAATGGAAAAAAGAATCCATACTACTCCTTTCGAGAGAGCTCTATCAACTCTCCTAACAACCCCCACCCCGCGCGAGCGCGCGCATGGGCACACACAGACACACACGCGCGCGCAGGAGTGTACACCTCGGGGCCAGAGCGTAGGGAATGCCGTCCCAGAAAGGATTGTCCGCCCGCCCCCACCCGTGGGGGCATCCCCGTATCAGCCACGCTTGCGCCCATCTGCTGGTATCCGGGGTGCTTACCTCGCTTTCTCCATCTTTCGCTCCACACGTCCACATCCTCCGCACTAGGAAGCTGACACCCACGCAGGGTTCCCGCCCACCTCCCCAGCATTCCCCATTGCCCACCATTTTCTGAATCTAAATGGCTAGAGGGCGTGGCTGTGGTGTGAGAAGCGCAGAACAGGACCTGCGGGGGGTCCTTTTACCCTCCCTTTTCCTTTCCAGTGACTTGCAGGTGCCTCCCACCTTCACACTGACTTGCGGGGAACCCAGGCGTGTTCCTTCTCTTTTTTACCTGGGCCAGAGACCAGCCTGCTTTCAATGCAATAGGGAGCTGGTACCCAATCCTGACCGCCCGTTCCCTCCCCAGCTCCCTCACCCAAGCCCACATTTTTTGCCCCCAAATGAACCCGCGCAGGGGCAGAAAGGGGGTATAGGCAGTGCAATCCTGACTCGCTTTGGTGTTCGCCCTCGCCTTTGGATATCCTCTGCCCTTTCAAACCTCCTTAGATCCAGGGCAGGCAGTAGTCTCCTGTTCTGTGTGGGGTACAGAAGCGCACCCGCCTGCCTCCAACGTAATAGGGAGACGGTGCTCAGGCGGGAAAGAGGACTCAGACTACAGTGACTTAAATTCACGTCTGCTTTTTGCCCAACGAAGCCAGTGTTATCAGTGAGCTCAGGTCCCCCCAATTAACCCTCCTTACAGCACTGCAGCAGAAGCCTGGTCGCCCCTCCCCAGCCGGTCTCCTCCCTCCCCCACACAATTTGACTTAGTCTTTTCAGTCTTTGCCAGAAACATGAAAAGTGTATCATTGCCCTGGAATTTATACTTGCCTTTCTCAGATTATCAGGGAGGATCAACCCGTTGGGGTTAATCGACCATGTCTCCTTTTTTTCTCTCCTGCTCCCTACACTGTCCACCTCCCCTCCCCCAAGACCCAGAGATCTGCCATATCCCTTGCAGTCCTGCCCAGGCACTTAAATGGGATTGAGGAAATGAGGCTCCATGTGAGACTGAGAGATTTATACTAGATTTTTAAAAAAATATTTGTCAGTTCTGTTCTATACGATTATTATCATTACTGATAATAGTAATATCCACCTACATCCAGTTTGTCATTAGAAAATAGAAAAGAGGGGCGCCTGGGTGACTCAGCTGGTTAAGCGACTGCCTTCGGCTCAGGTCATGATCCCGGAGTCCCATGATCCAGTCCCGCATGGGGCTCCCTGCTCAGCGGGGAGTCTGCTTCTCCCTCTTCCCCTCCCCCCTCTCATGCTCGCTCTCTCGTTCTCTCTCAAATAAATAAAATCTTTTAAAAAAAAAAACTACTTTAAAAAAATTAAAGAAAGAAAGAAAAGAAGAAAGAAAATAGGAAAGAGCTATTTATTGTCATTTGGGAAGCAGGTGGTAGATTCAAGTGGGGGGTTGGTAAACAAATAATCCAGCCACCTGTTTTCCCTGCTCAATAACAACACAAATATCGATCCTTTAGGCAGCCACTTATTTGGAAGTTTGAAAGGTACAGAGCAGCTGGAGGCTCCCCTTGTGGGGGAGGGGCGGTTTTCCATGAAGTCAGCCTCTGAGGTCATATAATCTCATAATACCAAGGACACCTTGAAATTTCAGATTTTAAAAGCTGGTCACAATGTTCTGGTCTTCAAAATTATTATAATTCAACCTCCACAGTTGATCTATTTCCCACTTCCCTACCACATTCACATCCCTGTTAACCCTTTCCAATTGCAACCAAAAATTTTCTACTTAACACCCCAGGGATAGATCTAGGTTGTGGGGCCTGAAACTTACAATTTGGGGGACCCTCTTTAAGAAAAGAAGCATTAAAAAGGTATGTGTGATGTAGGCAATTAGGTACCAAAGTTAATATTTATTTATAATGAGCAAAGAAATGACAAAATTTGGACAGCTGACATATGTGAAACATCCCAATTTCCATAGAAATGTTGACACAAAATGAACAAACTTTTTAGAATTTCTAAAAGTAAGAAAGAGTTTTATTCAAGCCCAAGGTAGGACGGCTGCCTGGGAAACATGCTCTTTGCAGGAAAGAAAGTGTTCGGGAGAATGAATAGTTTTTACAGGGTTATATACTTTTTACATCTTAGAAAAACTCAAAAGACTATAGCATATTGGCAGGAATCATGAGTTTTATTGTAAAGAAATGCAGGGTGTGGGAGCAATGATCAATATCTCAAGGACAAGATGGTTTTCCTTTAGGCTACTCTTTCACAAAGCAGGTGTACAATGCATGCGTAGTGGGCCATAAATCAGGCTTTTGGTTTGAACAAAGTTTATATATAGTCATGTTGACTTAGAAATCTAAAATGACTTCCCTTGTTTATCAGGCCTTTATAGAGAGTTTTTCTCTCATCCCAAATAACATTTTTATTGACTGCCTGGTACACCTCTGACCTTTTCCCCTACAATTTTTTTGGCTACAAATCCCTTGATCCTCTCTTCATATGACATCTTTGTTATATCATTTTTCCTAGAGAAAATGTTAAGATAATTCAATCTTTCCTTTGCATGGAAATTAAATTATTATGATTATGTGATTATAATCAATTTATTATGATTATTGATAGACGTTTCAACTTTACTACTCATTACTGGTGAAGGCAAATTTTTAGTATTGTCAAATTTGAATAAATTGCTGTCAACCTCTCTCAAGTTTCTTTCTTATGTGGGCTTAAGATTTATTTTAAACTTTCTTGTGCACATTCTTATCTTAAATATTCTTAATAATGATGCAGTGTCATGCCAGTGTCCTGAAGGGGAACAGAATTTGCCACCCCAAAATGTGTCTCTTTGGCATATTTGGCATAAGGATTATTTTAGGCTGATTATTCTTTAAAAAACAGCATCCAGGGGCGCCTGGGTGGCTCAGATGGTTGAGTGTCTGCCTTCCGCTCAGGTCCTCGGGTCGTGATCCTAGGGTCCTGGGATCAAGCCCCACATAGGGATCCTGGCTCAGCGGGGAGCCTGCTTCTCCCTCTCCCTCTGCCTCTCCCCCTGCTCACGCTCTCTCTCTCTGTATCTCTGTGTCTCAGGGTGGGGTGGGAGGGATGGGCTGACTGGGTGATAGACACTGGGGAGGGTATGTGCTCTGGTAAGTGCTGTGAATTGTGAATTGTGAATTGCAAGACTGTTGAATCTCAGATCTGTACCTCTGAAACAAATAATGCAATATATGTTAAGAAAAAAAAAAAGAAGAAGAAGAAGATAG